AATTTATTCCTTTTGTGAAATGATCTCGAATATCAATCAAGTTAATTTCTGTTGATGAGCACCAACAGATGTTTTTATTTTCCCACATATGGTTTTTAAGCTTTGTGTGCTTTGTACTGTAGTTCTAAACGTTTTGTTTTTTGCTGTTTTGTGTAGCTTGAGAAATGGCGGAAACCTTTCTATTCACTTCTGAATCCGTGAATGAGGGTCACCCCGACAAGCTTTGCGACCAGATCTCTGATGCAGTGCTCGATGCTTGCCTTGAACAAGATCCTGACAGCAAAGTTGCCTGTGAGACATGCACCAAGACTAACATGGTCATGGTCTTTGGAGAGATTACAACAAAGGCCAACGTAGACTATGAAAAGATTGTCCGTGACACGTGCCGTAGCATTGGATTCATCTCTGATGATGTGGGTCTTGATGCTGACAAATGCAAGGTCTTGGTGAACATTGAGCAGCAAAGCCCTGATATTGCCCAGGGTGTGCATGGCCACTTCACCAAGCGCCCAGAGGAGGTTGGTGCTGGTGACCAGGGTCACATGTTTGGCTATGCCACTGATGAAACCCCTGAATACATGCCCTTGAGCCATGTCCTTGCAACCAAACTAGGAGCTCGTCTTACCGAGGTTAGGAAGAATGGTACCTGTGCCTGGTTGAGACCAGATGGTAAGACTCAAGTAACTGTTGAGTACTACAATGAGAATGGTGCTATGGTTCCACTTCGTGTCCACACTGTCCTGATTTCTACCCAACACGATGAGACTGTCAGCAATGACCAAATTGCTGCTGATCTTAAAGAGCATGTTATCAAGCCTGTGATTCCTGAGAAGTACCTTGATGAGAAGACCATCTTCCACCTTAACCCTTCTGGCCGTTTTGTCATTGGTGGCCCCCATGGTGATGCTGGTCTCACTGGAAGAAAGATTATCATCGATACTTATGGTGGCTGGGGTGCCCATGGTGGAGGTGCTTTTTCTGGCAAGGACCCTACCAAGGTTGACAGAAGTGGTGCCTATGTTGTAAGGCAGGCAGCAAAGAGTGTTGTGGCAAATGGCCTTGCTCGCAGGTGCCTTGTCCAAGTTTCTTATGCTATTGGTGTTCCTGAACCATTGTCTGTCTTTGTTGACAGTTATGGAACTGGGAAGATCCCTGACAAGGAGATCCTTCAAATTGTGAAGGAGAATTTTGACTTCAGACCTGGAATGATCACCATTAACTTGGACCTCAAGAGGGGTGGGCAAAGGTTTCTCAAAACTGCTGCTTATGGACACTTTGGAAGGGATGACCCAGACTTCACCTGGGAAACTGTGAAGCCACTCAAGTGGGAGAAACCCCAGGCTTAAGAGGTTGTGGATTTAATTCCATCCCTTCAATGGTTCACTTACTAGGTGTGGATGAATAATATGCGTGTTTAGTATGCTTGCTCCATCCATAGGTCTTAATACCATCCCATCATCATACCTAAACTGCTTTTCTCTTTTTCTTTCTTTTCTCCTTTTCTCCTTTACACTTAAATTTATTTTTTGTTTGATGCAATGTTATACCGTGTTGGTGCAATGAAAATTTATCAGAATTTTGTCCCAATTGGTTGCAATTTGAAGTGGTGACATAGCTTTATGCAATGTATTTGATCTAAAAGCAAAGTATTCTTTCACAAAATTGAAAATTTGTTTTCTTTGATCCTTAAAAACTAAGCGTCAAGAGAGAATTGCTAGAAGTAATCACGAGTAAGATGCGGGTTGATTTGGAAAAGGGGCTGCTGATTAAGTTCTGCAAGTAGAAATTGTAGGTACTAAAATATACTGATTAAACGGCCTCAACCTATGATGAATTAGAGCTTTATCAAATATATGAACGCGGTAAGTGGTAACCACGATAAAATGTTCTCTGTTGCTTAATTTAAAAGTATAAAAGGTGGTTTTTAAAATTACAATAAATAAATAAATAAAATTTGTTAAAAGTGAGCAGTATCGAGTATAAAAAATACAGAAAAGAAATATTTACACCACTTCAATAGTTGAATTCCAGAAACTGGTCAATGGCAGTGATTGGATTCAAATCCTAGTGCCATCATTGTGTTGAAATAACAAATCGATCAACGTGACTTGTGTTGAACTCAAGAGCGGCCGAAAAAAATGGAATCGAAAAATAAAATGTTCAACGAGAATATGTAAAGTATGGACATCATCAAAGATTGTTTTTTAGACATAATTTGATGCTCAGCAATTGATTTATCTTAAAATATATGAAATGATAGAATTAGTCAATTTAATTTTGTGTGTATGAACAAATTTTTAACCGAGCTTTTGCTAATGTTTCTTTAATTTTTTTTTTATTAATTTATACTCTCATGTGGATTAGAGAAATGTTTAAATTATATTACTTTCTCTAAGACTTATACTTTCTTTTCCACAAAGATAAAAGTATTGTAGTTTAATTTATTTTAATAAAAAATGTGTTACAATAACTAATTATAAACGAACCTTTCAGCTCTAGGGATATTTTGTATTTTATAAATTTAGAAGATAAAATGATGTTAGAAACACCTTTTATATTTGTTTTGGAACTTTATTTTAAATCTTCATTTTATTTTTTAAAATAAAAAACAAGTTGAAAATTAATGATTTTGTTGATAACAATTTTTAAGATTGATTTTAAACAACTAAAAGCATGGAATTTTTGTTGAAAACAAACGTACTAAATTAAAAATATAAAGAATTGGAATAAGTATTTTTCAATAAAAAATTTACTTTAAGATACTAATTATTTCTAAGGGTTAATATAATATTAACATTTTTTAATTAGTTATCAATGATACTAAGAGTCACAAAGGTTGAAAATTTATCTTTAAATAGTTTTCTCACATAAAAAAAATAAACTGTAGCATATATTAATCTCTTGAAGAAAAAAGTATAGTCTTTTTTTTAAAAAAATAAATAAATAGAGAGAAGAGTAATGCAATTTAAGAATGTACTGAATACACTTTTAATTTTGAACCCTTTATCTTTAGAATTGTTATTGTGAGTCTAACATCTCAAGCAAATGGAATTGAAATCCTCTCTAGGTGATCTTAAGGATCAAATTTATCATTTAAACCCAATTATATCACTCTAAACGTCAATGCCCAATTTACTCTAGAAAATGTTTAATGATAATAAAGCTTCTATTGTGATGTGATTTAGTTTTGATCACCTCTTAGTCATAAATATCCTTAGATATGGTTAGTTTAGACACACTTCGGATATTGACTGATTACTTTTTTTACACTCTACTGTAGCATTGCTTATCTCTTGAGTTGTTTATCTCACACAGAATAGCAATTATTTTCATTTCATTTTTCCTTTTTGGTATATTATTGATACCCCATTTAGAAACTTCGGAAAGAAAAATAATTGTCATACATTTTTTATATATTTACGCAATTTTTTGCATTAAAATTTTATAGGAATTGTTTCTGGTGGTTCAAGAAGAGCATTCGTATAACCCTGTAAGTATTTTGTTGAAGAATGGTACTGTTGTGTACCGATTCCAGTAGCGTAAAGAAAAATGTGAATAAAAGTTAAATGGAAAAGAGTATTTTGCTAAGTGAAATTGCCATTTTTAAAAAAAAAATTCTTGGACGATTTATATCAACGAGAAATAGTCACTGGTGCTGCATACTTGATGCTTAAAAAAATGCTCTTTTCTAAAAGCAAACCATCACTTTTCTTCTGCTTGGACATATTCCATTTCACCATCTATTCTACGGTACATAACTTGTGGATAAGCTAAGGAGCTAGAAAGCATTCATATTATGTGACATATGAATATTATACGATGAAGATATGAAAATATGATAAATTTTAAAAATTATAAAATATGATGAGACTGCAATATAACAAATTAAATTAATGTCAAAAGTATAAAAAATCTTAAATATCATTTACATATAGTAAAACATAATTTAATTATATTATTGTATTTTTATTTGTATTAATATTAAAGGTTAATAAATAAAATAGACTGAACTATGTTTTTGGTCCCAAAAATATTACATTTTTTTTTATTTTATCCTTTAGTTTTAAATTTTTAAAATAAATTATTTATACTATATTTTTCTTGACAAAATGAACTCCTTGAGATTTTTGTTTCTCATTTTAGTTCCTAGAAATATCTTCAATATTTTCAGTCGATTTAAAAATCACAATTTCCTATTTGGTCCTCCTAGATAACATGAATTTTTTTATTTGATCTCCCTAAAAAGGACTAGATAAAAAAAAAACTCATAATATTTAGAGAGAATAAATAAAAAAGACTTTTGAAACAAAAATAGTTTATACAAAAATTAAGAATTTTTAAAGATCAAAACTTAATTAAGCCAAGAAAATAATGAGCAAATATAAATAAAAATATCCAACACAACTAAATGTTTAATTATTAGTATTTTTCCGTATACATAGTACCTTAACATGGAATTTAGCGTAAGAACTCCATCAATTCAAAATTTATACATATTTCTTTTTTTCTTTCCAAAACTAAAGCTACTCCATGCAATTATCACATCTCAGAGTTTTCTGGTGGAGGGAAAATTGTACATCATTTGATTCTAGTCAGTTTCTTCGTTACCTACTGATTTTCTCAAGCAATTTTTTTTTGTTTTTGGTCTGTTTTTGTGTAGATAACAATATTTTTGTTATTGTGGGAAAGTGGAGATAATGAACTATGCATTTGACATTGAAGGGAAAAAAAAACCTAAGCATTCCTTTCAGAAGATAAGAAAAAAGATACTTCCCAAACATTTTATGAACCCAAAAATTTGTACCTACAATACAAAAAAATGTATAAAAATTCACTTTGCATATTTGTTAACCCTTTCGATTTCGTTTATTGCTATTTAAATGACATTATTTACTAAGGATTTGCTGAAACAATCGAGTGCGCTTCAGCTTGTGTTTTATTGGAACCACGTCTAACTACCAAATGAAGTTTGAGAATAAAATAAAAGCAAACTCACATGGATCTCACAAGGAAGCACATCAATAATAAATATGTAAACAGCATTGCATAATTTAGCCAATACAAAGAAACAGTCCTACAAGAAATCTCAGTCATACAGTTCTATGAACGCATCCTATTACATTACCTATCAAATTTAAGTTGTAAGTTAATGAAGCTCAGCTTGTTCCGAACTCCAACGATTCCCACCTGAAAGGACGGAATACATACAGAACTTCGGGTGAGCTTTTAAACAGAAGAGCCACACAGACACAGACTGCTGCTATGGCTACCATTGACAGCATTGCAGGTTTGTATACCAAAGACTTGCCTACAGCAGTTCTACAAGACAACTTATGATCACAGAGTTTGCAATGCTTTTGGACATATTTGACATCAGTCTTCCCAATCTCAAAGCTAGTGGACGATTCATTTTGCTTCTGGTTTGTACTGAACCCTGTTAGATTGCTCGGAATCTCAACCACCACATGAGTTCCTCCCTGTTTTTTGTTGATTTTCTTTTGGACCAAGTGAATGTAAGTATAATGGCCACGTAAACGTGCATAATCCTCAGGTGTGGAGCCTGTGCTGTCACGAGCACTCTTCCATGCTTCAATTCCAACCTGAATTAAAAATCCCGAGTTATAAATAAATATAACTAACCTAAACACCATACTCCTGGTTGAAATGATTTTGACAATTCAAATAACAGTTAACACGCAGGATTTGGAATATAATGGATTAAAATATGTTCAAGAATTAAATGTAGCAAAGATACAAATAGAACCTACAAGATAACCTCCCCACCCTACTAAATAACTCTATTCTTAATATAAGATAGAAGAATTTTACCATGCAAGGATCGTTAGTCAAAGCATCCAGAACATCTTCAGAACCATCTTTCCCAGCTGCTATATGGAGTGGTGTCAAGCCAGCAGGACCAATAACATCAGGTGTAAACAAGAAGCTTTGATTCTCTTCATCAACAAGTACCGTGTCTTCAGCTCCTAGTTTATCAGAAATATTCTCAGGAACAAATCTCAAAAGCAGCTCCACCAACTGCCTGCTATTTCTCCGTACAGCTCTGTGAAGGACACCCAGCTCTGAAAGTGCAAGATACAGGGAAGGGTGATCTCCTGTACTCACAGTTCCATCAAACAGAAGGTTCAATAGTTTTTTAACTACTGCACACCAATCATGGTCCACAGAGAACTCCATGAGCCACTTGAATCGGTTTAATGGGAACAGATCTGCGCCAGAGTTCAAGTGAACCATCCTAGATTTCATTTGGCTTCTGTGGAGAAGCCAACCCATTTCATGTATAAAATCCATAGCTTGGTTTCTGGCCTTTATTCTTCCATCCCCTTCAATATCTGGATCAGTATCACTTAATTCTAGTAAAGGCTCAAGCACACAGATTTCAGAGCAAACATCCTCCTCCACAACTATAAAAGGAAAAAAGCTGCTGCTCAAACCCTGATCCTCAATCTGGCATTTTTAAGAAAATCAGAAATATAAAGTCAAATGCATAATATTGATGCAGACCTTGTTATCTTCATTTAAGAATATCATAAATTTGTAAGGATGCATGTAAATGCTGATAAGAATCAAACAACACCTGGATATAAGGACATTGACAACCATCAGAGTAACCAGAAGTGCATGAAATTGTATAAACTAAAAACTATAAAGCATGAAATGTGTTCACACTGCTTGAAGATCATAATTTAGGTAGAATACAACAACAAAGGATAGATAACATCATAACACATTCATGCACCTTTATTCCTTTATCATCTTGTATGGTATAATAACAACATCCTTCTTAACCACAAGCACACTGATACTATCCTAATTTGATCCAATTCACTGATCCTATGATTAATAAAGCACACCATCACTATTAGTCTTAAGAATAAGGACTCAGGCGATATGTAAGGATACAATCAATAAGGTAGTCCAAACTATCAATGCAAGATATATAACAATGACTCTCATTACAATCAAATGAATGCATGACCTAAAAACCAACTCTGGCAGTGGCAAGGGTCTTGTTCCTTTGCTAAAAATAAGAAACTAAGCAGCCAAAGAAGTTAATATTACCAATCTAATGACTAATATGTACAGTACTAGCTTTGTCTCCCCAATAAACAGAAGAGATTATGTTATGCATAAAATCCAAGAGCCTAATGTAATGAGATCTGTTCTTTAGCCAGTGTTATAAGAATATAAAGGAGGTTGCATTATTCCAAGGTCAGGGCACACCACAAGCCTCAGCAAGGGCGTACAGTGGTAGTTATAGATGCCCCATCAATGAAGAACCACCAGCAGGAACAGAATACAAGATGTTTTCATTGATGTTCAATCCTACCAGTTGAGTCAACCTTATTGGCAGGTTGCAATTGTGTTAAATATTGAAATATTGAACTCTTAGAGTGAGAGAAGAAAGAGCACCTCAATAAATCCTCTTCCATTCATCACAGGGACAGAGCATGAAAACTGGATGCACTCTAACTCATCAAGATCTTTGGAGCATTGATCCATAGACTCACAAGCATCTTCACAAACTAGATAACTCCCTTCTATAGCACATAATAACCTGAAGGAATACGTAAAAATATAAAATAAATAAATATATAATATATTTAAATTTAAACCAAATCATGGAGAAAGAGTAGGTTCAACACACTAAATTTAGCTTTTAATTTACAAAAATGAAAATTTTTTGCATTTCACAGAGAAACAGGACTACCTAGTGGCAGGGCGAATCAGGTTGATTCCCTTAACAGAAAATTGAGCTGTCTTTGATGCCGGTACAGCAATTGGACTAACACTCAGAATCTTACTATAATTACTTCTGGAAGGCAAGGATGCATCTATGACAACCTGACCTGCAGCAGAAAAGTTACAGTAAATAAACAGTACCTATTCTGATTGATATGATTGATGAGAAGCCCATTAACATTAGATCAACACCCAATCATGTCCATCAGTTCAAGTTATTATATGACAGCAGCTTAACTTAGATGTGGATAAAAGTCCTTGATGTAGATGATATGTCACTGAAAGGACTTTACACTTTTAAACAGTTAATATATTTAATTGTGCAGAATAAGGACTGATGGACTTAATAGAATACTGCAATAAAATTTTAACTCCTGTTATCTTGACACCTAGCAAAAACAACAACAGACACACGGCAAGAGACCATTGAAAATGAAGGCTATCTGATGCTGCACCCTGATATGAACCCATCCAGTCCTCCAAAAATCATCATCCGAGACATCCAGAAGTCTATTCAAACTGGATGCCAAATCATAGCATAGCTGTAACAAAACAACCACATGTTATATTAGGTCAACTGTGTTCCCTGATCATAGAAACAACCACACACACATAGAAGTTAGTAGTTTTAGAAGAATAACACTTACTTCCTCCCACACAGCCTCAGCCTGACGCAGATAAATGGTCAAAACAATACAACCAGGCCGTATGTAGCCCTCAATATCAGTAGGACTGTGTGATAACCAATCTAGAATCTGGAATCCAAAACTTTGCATGATTAAATTTCAAGAGAAACAAATAAATAACAGTTACTCTTAGATGCTTTAAAAAGCTTAACATACCTGTGCTCTAAGTACAAGAGGAAAATCATTTGGTTCTTTACCAAAGAGTTTGAAAACAATGCGGTCTGTGCGGCTCTAAATGTTAGAAACAAACATATTAGCTGTTAAATAATGACAATCTCAAAATCCTATTAATTAAACACATAAAAGGCATTGTTCAAGCAAATACTAGAAGGATTTAAATCCAGAATGAAATTTCATAAATTGAAGGCATTAAAGTAGAAATATTTCTGCAAGCTAAAATAAGTAGCATAATTTCTGACACCTAAGGTCTGGCATGGTCTAGCTCAGCATAACTATTGGGGCCTGAACATCATGTGACATCCTCAAGTGAGGTGAATGCTTTCATATCAGTCACACAGCAATCTCCAGGCATGCTATATAAACCAAGACTGATGAGGAAGATCAAAATACTCATCTCTAACTCTAATGCTTCTTCCTCAGCACAAAATATCATGCCTGGTTCTGCTAGTCTCCGTTCTCATACTTGGCCCACCTCTCCCCTATCCCCTCATCAGGTCTACAGATCTCCCTTACATAAAAAAGAAGCAAATAGATTCACCCATTTGAAATTCTAAAGCAATGTTACTTTTTGGCTTCTTGTCAAGTATGAGTAAAAAACTAGTAATGTCAAGCCACCAAACTATGCATGAGTGACATATTAAGACAGCACCACTAAGTCTAAGAATCCCAACCAGAAACACTGGTAACTTCTGCAAAATATTGCCAATTTCTATAGGTCACAAAATCCCAATCATGGGGGATAGGTGTGTGTATGAGGACTGCGTACATGAGCACAAATACAACAGCCAATCCCGAATAATGCTGCAAATCCTGCAATACAAACATACCTGAGCTTCTCCACTGGAACTAGAAGGGGACTGGGCAGATGCAGAATCTGAATTTCCACTTGTTTGAGGTGGACTTGACTGATGAGAATCTTGTTGCATCCATGGGTAATCAAGAGAGCTAGTAGTACCCAGATTTCCAGACACAGGCAACCTTTCTATGTCTTCTATGCCATCATCTGAGTCAACATAAATGTCATTCAGATCAAAGTTATTCATCTTGGTCTGTCCAGCAGTACTGTCTCTGGCTTCTGAGTAAGCTGGAGGGCTATTTGAGACACTGGGCTTTGTAGAAGACACTGTTTGCTGATCAGCAGCCCTAGCATCATGTGCGTGCATCACTTGATGCTGAATTTCACTAATAGAAACTGATTGATTCTGTTTTGTAGTAGTTGGAGAGCCTTGAGAACCATTTGAGAATAAAGTAGAAACCACCTCGGACTTCCCCGATGACCTCCCTTCTTTCAACAAATTCTCTGGTTCCCGTAAAAGTTTTGACAAGTTCTTGCTCCCTTGTTCACCATTCTGACTAGCAAGACTCTTTAAAAGATGAGTCAGCAGATCCTGATCTGTGTTCTGATCTGACCTGTCAGCTATAGTTCATAAAAATGTCATTATCCATCCCAAAGTTACCTCAGTCATAGCAGAAATACAAATCATATAAATGGATTAGAAAAGATTCTCAAGAAACAAAAATAATTAGAAACAAAAAAAATATATACAAGATGCATGCATGCATAAACACACATTTGATCATTGAGTCATTTCCGTCATCCCTTATCCCTAAGCTTACCAATATTCAAGAGCACTTCAAGTTCTCACAGTCGTTCCCGGGGTTTATTATAATGTCTTCTCTAAGTGGCTTCCTCTCTATTTCAGTTGTCCATTACATGGAACTAAGACATATTTGGTGGCACCTCAGGCCATCTCTTCTGAGCCATTTCAATCTTGCTTCAACCAATTTATTTACTGGTTATTCAGATAACTGAAGAGCATTTCACTCCAAAACCTGCCCCTCAAGGTACTAACGATGGTTGTGAATGCAAACTAGTAGTGTGATATGCTCAAGACTAAATAGGCGATGTCTACTAACGAAAAGCCCAAAACATACCATTTTGCTTGCCCATTTCTAAGTTCTAACCAGTTAGGTATAGCTTCTTCTCACTCTAAAAAACTAAAAGTCTCTAAATCTCAATCATTCTGACAATTTTACACTGGTAAGAACTGAAAATCCCGTGACAGCAGCAATGGTGACAAATCAAGCAATATGCACCTCTTGTGTTCATCCTATATCTCATCTGACCCTTTATCTTCAACAGAAATTAAGTGAATAAACTTAAACCAATTCTTCAACAAGAAGTGAAATAGAAGCTTAGGGAAGTAATATGTTACCAAGTAGTTACAAACAACTCTTTGTGAAAATCCCGACCAAGAACTGTACTTGCGGCTTAACAGTTTACTTTGGCTAACTAAGCATGAAATCACTCACCATACTGAAAATGTCTTCCTCTATATCCTTGACAGAATATAGTTTTTAAATCAAATTTGCAAATGAACAAAGTACCCTTCTACAGCTATCAAATGGCTGCCAGTACCATCAATTACAAAATAGTTTAAATTAATATTATGTTTTCAGCATCTCAAACAAGAGAAGCAAGCATAAATCACCTCACATAAATATGGAACCAACTCTAGACTCCATTACAGAGATAAGACCAAATAAATACTTACAATGCATATTTGAAAGTATCTTCAATAAACTTATCAATAGATAACTACTGGTCTGATCATCGTTTAGCGAACTTCCACTGGGAACAGCACCTTGATTTGTTTTCCTCCTTCGTTTATTGTGGCCAGCCAAACGCCTTCTGCAGCTTCTCTTTCCTTCGTCAAACTCTTGAAGCATGTGAAACCTGTAGATAAAGTAAAAGAATGTCACAAAATAGAACGATCTAACCTGAACTTGGAAATTAGCAACATTCTGCCAAACCCACCTGTACTTCTCAGCCATTTATTAATCCTATTGTAGAGTAAATTTGGAACTGATTCACTACAAGGATGATTCAAAACAACCAAGAACATGAACTTACCTACTACACTGTTGGCAGAACCGCTGCATTGCATTCCCCACAAGGGCCTTACTGGCCTTGGAGTGCATCTCACAAACTTTATGACGTCTGTGATAATCTTTGGCATTGCTGAGATCTGTGCCACAGTCCTCCACCTGACAAATAGCTCGATTCGAAGTACCCCCGGCTACTCTGCTTTTCTTCCCATTGGTTCCTTCCCAGCTTGCAATTTGAGTAGCAACAGTACTACCACCAACACCCCGCCCACCACCAATCTTTAAGCTAAGACTACCCGCTTCCTCATTCAACCCTGTTTCATCCTCCACCACAACAACCCTCCTCTTCCTCTCCCCTTCCTTGTTCCCCCGTCGAATCCCGAGATCTACGTCATCAGAGCACGAAGATGAACTATTGGAGTTGGAGGAACCCCCAGGCACAGGGAAAAATTGCCTATGCTCCGGCACTGGACTCAAAGGCCTAGCAACGAAAAGATCACCATCCCATTTCCATTCATTCAAATCCCACTCAACAGTCCTCTTCCCCACACCCCGCAAATCAGAGGAACCGTACAAATGAAAAGCTTCTGCCCCAAATCTAGCTTCCATGTTGACAACTCACAGCTCAATTGGAATCAAACACTAGAAGAAGTACTAAATTAAATGGACAGCTGAAAACGAAAAACAGATAATCCGAATCAATCTCCCCCAAAAGTCGAGAAAGACTACACCGACGCAACCAGGGTTCCAATTAAGCGAAATCCACATAGCTACTTAGGAACCGTAACCAGGTAACCTGAACTACCGAGTCTTCCCTTTCCATAAAAAAAAATTGACTACAGAAAGATGCTCTTTGTTTCTCTTGCCATAAAACTGAAAATAAGATTGAAGGAGCAGAACCTTCAAGTTAAGAAACAGAAGGAAGAAGATGGAGGGTGAGTGAAATTCGGAAAGTGCGGCAAGCACAGTTGGGTGAGGGTGAGCGAAGAGGTGTGTTGATTGTGATGGGAAGATGAATGTGAACGTGATTTTCTTTGCGTGACAAGGAAAGACTTCTGGTAATGGATGGTATGGTACCATGATATTGATATTCTATGCTGTGATGTACGCACAATATTATTATTATAATATTAATAATAATGTGTATTGTAGTGTAGGAGTAGGGAAGGTGGTGGTGGGATTGGCTACAGTATGCCCACCCGCATAGTGGTGGGCCACTTTATATATTGGCCGGATTGGGATTGCTCTCCCTTGTCCTCCCCCGTTTTCCCACCATCCCAAATTAAACACATGCGCCTCTCACCACTCACTTTTTCACTTAAACTATGTTAGTTTTTATTCAAAACACATAATTATAATTATTATTGTTAAACAAAACACAAATATTAATTTAGATGTTTACATACATTTACTTGAATAAGTGGTGGTTTCAATTAGTTTATTAAATAATGTTCTGTTGTTTGCTGTGGACCTTTCAATTACTGAAAGGTGCAATTATGAAACAAAAATGACTGCTGCTAATGATTGCATGGGATTACCGTAATTTGTCAGGCGTTACTATCTTAATCCTCGAAAGTGCTCCTCGAGAGAGAATTATACCAGGCAGACCCACCATAGCTTATACGATAAATGCAATACCCCAATTTGACTAGGGAGCTGAATTTGGTCCAAAACTAGGGTCAGAGAAATGAAAATGGACGCATATTACGTGCGTTTCGGGGCACATGACTGTGTGGAGTGAAATTTGTTAGGGTCAAATAAACAGCCAATCAAGTTATTGACTTTGACTTGCCCTCGTATTTCTTAGGCCATTAACTTTCCCTCAAAACAGTCGAATTAGAATATAATAAATATGACCCAAAAGAATGAATGATAAAAAAATAGGTATCAAAGTAATAATCAATTAATTGTAAAACAAAAGCCAATCAAAAGTAACAATATCAAGTCAAAAAGTCCGCGGACTAATTTTGGCACGAACCGATTATCCAATCCATAAAATAGTATTTTATTTTTTGGATTATAATAACATTTAAGAGTGAGTGGAAGCCGTTCAGTGTCACTGTTATTTATATATATTACAGCTCCAACCATTAATCCTAAACTTTATAAGCAAAACTTCGTTGCTGAACAATTAAACCATCTCCATTAATAATCTTGACCCTTTTTTTTTATTTTACTTATAACTAATGGCATGTTGAAGCCCATTGCGGTTGTGACGATACTTTTTCTCCTAATTAGATAATTTTTCCTTCTGCGTTCTATTTCCAAGTTTCCAACTTCCTGATGGACCATTCTATTTTATGATTCATAAGATTAAAAATTATAAATAAGAGTGTTTTAAATAGAATAATTTGTAGTTAAAATGTTTTATGATGAATAAAACTATTATAACTTATAACTCTTAATAAAAAAATTAAAAAAAAAAGGTATGGGTTAAAGTGTCAAATCATTGTGATTCTAAATATAATGATGACAAATCTCTTTATTATTTTTCCAATAAATATGTATTTAAAGACGTATGATTATAGTTATCGATAATTTTTTAATACTTCGTTTAATATTAAGAAATAAGAGAGAGAAATCCCAGTCCAACTATTTAGAGATTAAGTGCGAGTTTAGAATTGTGGTACCTGCCTCTGTGCGTACGTTTTTAAGACATGATTATAAATATTGATAATTGTTTACTACTTCATTTAATATCGAGAAACAAGAAAGAAAAACTATGTTCAACTTTTTAGAGATTAAGTGCGCATTTAGAATTACGGTGCCTACCTCTGTACCATGTTTTTACCGTAGAAGCTGTATCTTCTTGTGTTTACTTTAGATGTGTGCATGCAAGCAGAAAAACAAAAAAAATTGTCAAACAAAACACGCATTAACATATTCAAGTCAAGTTAAGACGTATGTAATATACCCTCTTCTTTTATATTTGATGTCTCAACTATTCCATGCATCTATTACTTGTTATATAATAATTCATATTATTCACTATTTTTTTTTCATCACTTTGTATCATGTATTACATCTTTTATTTCACTATTTTTGTTTTCCACTAAGTGTGTATATCTCATAAATGTATACTAATCATTTTCCTTTCTCCAATGTCTATTTACAGCTAGTCCATCTCAAATGTCGCGAGCCCACAAATCCAAGTAAATATTCTCCAGTCTCCATTGTTCTTTCTAGCCATGTACTTGGTGAGACAGTGATTTTACTCAAAATAAAGCACATCCACGAGAAGTGGAGCACGAGAAGCTGACAGAGACCCAAACAGAAAACCTCTCCCTTTATTGAAGTTTAAGAAATGAGAAAAAACATAAAGCTGATGCAAAGAGGAAGTTCAAAATTCTTTTTTTAATTAAATTAACATACAAGTCAAGCATCTAGTTGCTTATGAGAATAATCTCACAACATGCATGAGTCTAGTAGGATCCCCTCCTAGCTGACACGCTTTGTTTTATATGAAGTTTAAAATACAATGGACAGCAACATTATTGCTAAGAACATGTTTTAGACTGCGTGATTCGTGATTATTGATTGATATAGCTCACATTACAAGACAGCAACAGAAAGATTCATTGTCGGTTAATTGGATTCCAGATATATAACCATCCAGGAACACTGTTTTGTCCCTCTTCATGAATCCCATAAACTTTTAGCTCAATGTTTGTGGAATGTTAAGCCAATAATTGTTCACATATAAAAATGCGAGGATTAGCAACAGCATGATCTATGGACAAAAAAGTGCTTATGATATGAAAATTTAAGATGGTGTATAAAACTATACCCTATTATGTCACATTGGATTACTATAGGCGTTTTAGTTGTGTTTGTCAACTACTTAGAATGTGAAAAAACTATGGGCGATCTTTAACTAAAATGCTTATTAATTAATAATTAATAATTGTGACAAATAATTTGGATCCTTCGAACTTGAAACCCAACTTAAAGAAAAACAGGTACACTTGTTTTAAATTATTTAACTCAGCTTAAAATAATGGGAAGTAACAAAAAAAAAGAAAAGACTTGTTGGCGGTGTTGAGGCGGAGAAAGGTTCCTGGCCGGATTGGAACGGTGATTTAAGTAGTGTCATCATAATCAATTTTTCATTACAAGATGAGTAAATAAATTGCTTTAAATTGCACTTATTATTATTTATTATTATTAATGCTAACTGGTTCTTTCGAATATTAGTTGAAAAAATAAGTTTTTTTATTAATACATGTATTTCTATACTTTTTTTAATGTATTTTTATATTGTTTTCAATAAAAACATATTTTAATTTTTTATTTAATATTTTTAGAACATTGATTAGCAAAACTTTATTATTATTCTCAATGCATATTGACGTAGATAATCAAAAAGTTTGGAAAAAAAAAACTATGCATTCTTTATAAGTGCAGTTTTGAATCCTTTTATGGGTATCCCTTTGTTCAGAGACTCCCTAACACACGAATCATGCATGAAAATAATATAATTGTCATGGAGTAATATTACCAATGGTTTTAAGTCTACACAGTAATTCTTTAGGTTTTATGTAAGTTGATCTTCACACTGAGTATTGAATTTAAATATGATAATTTTTTAAGATAAAACTTAAATCAAGTTCTTTATATCTTTAATATTAAGTTTTTAGTTAAATAGTAATACATGGATTTTTAAATAATAAATAATTCTCATGAAATATATATAACAAAATTTTGGTAAATATCCATGTGTAATATCAATTAAATAGAGAATTTGATGACAAAGACGTATAAAACTTGATACAAGTCTTATCCTTAAAAGTTATTATCCATAAAAATATATATCTAAATACTAGTAATTTTAAAAAATGTAAATATATGAGTGAATATTGTAATATATTATCAAAATGCCATTCATTTTCATCCTTACCAATAATGCTTTGATCAGTAAGATTGAGATTTGGGACTACTGTGTCTTTTTCTTATCACTTTTCTTTTTTAAAAATCCTATATTTTTTTTTTCCGCAATCAATTGCATCCTTGATCCTTGTATAAGTCTAGGCAGCTGATTCAGTAATTAAGGTGAACTATTTATCGAACTCATAGTTGTTTTAGGTTGACGTTCGTGTTAAAAAAACCATCAGAAACTTAACATATAAAATTGCTATTCATGTGTAAACACTAATTACTGAAATAATCTTTAAACACTAACAAATTTCATTGGAGAAAAGTATTTATCATTAAAAAATTTAGGTAATATTTGTGCACATGTATGAAAATGAGAAGTCCCCCCCCCCCCTCCCCTCTAATCTTTAACTATTTATGCCTAACTGCATTTATGGTTTAGTTTTGGATTGAATTTGAAGTTAAAAAAATGTTTTGTTCATAAAAAGATATCGTATTTCGATTAGATTAATTTAATAATATATCTAATATAAATCAATATACTTTTAAAAATATTTAAAGAATTTTTAAAAGAAAAATAAATAAATAATATTTTATTAACCAGAGTAATATTAGATTCCCAAATTAATATATAACATGTTTTAATGATTTTTTATTTAAGAGATTAAGAAATAAAATTTATTAAATAAAAAGGCTGAATGCCCAAAAATATAAAGAATATTTAAATTATTAAATATCATCATATAGCTCACTTCATTTAAATTTGAAATACCAAGTCAGAATAATCTTAAATTTTTAAAGAATATAAATATATGTTAATCAGATTTGTAGTTTATTTTTGTTTAATTTAAATGTGAAAAAAAAACAAAAAACAAAAAACCAAAAACAAAATGAAATTAAAGATGTGACTTTTTATTAATATTTTATTAATTTACAAATTTTTAACATTTTAGTGATTTAAATTTTTTTAAATTATCTCTTAAATGCTAATCAGTGTTGACTTTGTAATTATCATTTCAAGAAAAATAAATTTCACTCTGAGGGTCAATATATCTATTATACAATAATAAAATAGCCTTAATTGACATTAAGAAAATGGTGGGGTATTTTCAAGAGTCACAACTGATTTATTTATGAAGGTGGTTTTTATAAAGTGACAATTAATTATAGAATTTAATTGGTATTCATTAATAGTATAAGAAATTTCTAACTTGTTATTGAATT